GATATGAATACTAGACTTCCTAAATTAAGTGACGAAATCCGAGAAACCATGTTGTGATGAATTAATATCCAAATTGGCTATTGATCCAGTAGGTGTAAAATGATTGTGTTGTTCGGTAGAGTTAAGTCACTTAAATTGCTTACATTGTTGTAAGAGATCTTCTTAGTTGAATATCTGATGACACATGTAGTTGAAGTATTGTGCATATGATGTATTGGTTGTCGTGTTGTTCATATGCTCTATGAATTTGTTGTTGAATGACATGATTGTAGTGTAAGTTGAAATGTGTTGTGATGTGATTATGTGTTTACCTTTTTAAGGTTTTTGAATGCCATGATGAGGAGTTATTTTTGTGTTGCTTATAAGTTGTAAGTCATGATGTAGTTGTGTTGTGTGGTTCACATGATGGTGTTAGTAGTATAGTTGTTTTACTTCTATACTTGTTATATATTTATATTTTGAACACTAGTTTATCCTTGAATATTTTCTTATAGTTGAACTGTGATAATCATATTTAATGGGAGTAGAGCAAAGATATGTTGCAGGTAGAGTTTTGTGGGGTCGTTCTGGTGATGACGGTGTTGATTTTTGGGCTATCCCAATATAGCTAGTATGGTAGTTGGTAGTTGTTCCTTGATTGCCAACCTAAGTTTATACATTATAATTTTTGGATTACTATATATGCATATATGTTTGTATAGTATTTCAATTGCCGGCACAAATTTGGTACATGTATATATATATCTATATTATCACTTGTTTATTTAAAAATTACTTGTACGTTAATTTTAAGTAAGAATATGTATATTTTCTATTGCTAGTAGTTAGACCGTTAAGTATGAAGACTATGTCAAGTCGTTACATTTCCTTTAATACTAGGATACTTGTGGTGTAATTAATTTTACTAAACTTTCAAAATATATGGAACTAATTCTTCCCCAAAAAAGCTTTTTAATTAAAAAAAATTAAATCTTACATCTTTAGTGAAGATCTCGCTTAAACGAATAGATGACAATTTAGTGGTGTTTGAAATATTGAATTAAACTAAATTATGAGAGACTTGAATTAAACAATAAAAAATAGTTCACATAAAATTAGAAATGTCCAATATTTATGATGTGATAGGTATACCACTTTTCTATATATTATAACAATAAAGCATGCAATATTGTTAATATTTATTTAATCTTTCACATATCAAATTAATATACTATATATTAAATATTAACATTGTAAAATTTAACGTGTAAAACATTTGATTTGCAGTTAGATCACTTAAGCATATAAATATGAATAATTGAGAGTGAGTCGTACGCTTTCAGATTGCAGCAAGCTCTGGTCAACCATTGTGCAATTCCAAAACATCACCGTAAAAGAAGAGAAAGAGAGTTATGCATATGGCTATATGAGTAAGCTAAATGTTTAAGTTTTGAATTAGTTATGTGATTATTTCGATCCTTTAACTTATCACATTTAAACTTTGAATCTCATAGTTTCTTTTTCAGCAATAAGTAAAATACAAAAAAAAATTAAAAAGGGAAAACTTGTAGACCAATTAGGTTAACTTTATCCAAAATTATTTTTCTTTTTTGGTAATATAGTATTGATAGAAGTGTCTATTGGTTTTGTTGGAAACTAGTTTTTTTTAGACTTTGACTACATTAAAATTATTTCTCCCAGCATCATTTTTAATCAAATTCAAAATTTAAATTCGAGACCTCAAAATTTAAAAATCAACCAAAATATCGGTTAGACTAACAAACATTGAAAATCCAGATTTGTTTATGATACAAACTTAATTAAAGTTAACTAAACATGCCTACATATAACTCAAACTTAAAATTTAAAACTCACTCTGTAATTTATCAGGTCACCCGTTTTGGACACCTAAAAATGATACCTTACTCGTACGTTTAGTATTTCTCGAAATGAATGCACGAGTTAATGAAGTGAACTTTTCCGGTGGTGGATGACTTATTGAAGTTTAATTGTGAATGGTCTATTTCTAAAGGTAACAGTGCACTCCATGACCTCACTAGTACTTGGGCCTCTAGTATTTTTGGTACGAGAAGTATTTTTGGTTTTCCTACTGTGTTTATATAAACAAGTGGGGAAGATGTGGATGCTTAATAGTTAATATATGTACTTGAAATTATGTTTAGATTTGTATAAGAATCTCAAACCTTAATTTTTTTTTTTTGATAATCCAAATAATTGAAAATAAAGGAAGTACAAGGGGTACTCCAACCCATTACAAAATATCACATGTGAACTAAAAATACCGTTTCACAACAAAGAACCTAAGCTAGACCATCACAACCAGCCCACAACATTGAAATAAAAATTGTAGAATCAGATTTCTCTAATAGACTTGTTTACCACCTGAATACATTTATCTAGGTGAGGCAAGCTGCTGGATTCATGGACCAAGAAGTAAAGTCGTACCTAAAATCTTTATGCCTTGTCCTTAACCAGTTCCAGGTTCTAATTTTAACCAAATGTACCATCTCCATTGCAAATATTTGAGTGGAAGAAAAGACCACTTCATTCCTAGCCAACCACACTGTCCATATGATGGCTAACCAAATAGAACTCAACCTTAAATTGAACTCAACCTTTTTTAAATTGTCCATTTAGTCTTTTATATTTATTAATTTGCAATTTTGATATTCTATTTTAAAATAAAGATATTAAATCATTTTAATTTTAAAAATTAAAAATTTTCATTCTATATTAATTTAATATTTACTAATCATTAAATTTTAATGTTAACATATAATTTGTCACTATTTAAATGATGTAATATGTAGTAATATATTATTTAGATATAAAAAAATTAAAATATACAAAATATCTTCATTTATATTTATTTTGATGGGTAATTGATATTATTTTATTATTTTCCTCATTTGTATGTGTTTTTTTTTAATTTAATTTTTTATTTTTAAATGTCATGTCACTAAATATTATTACATCATTCACAACATGTTGTCACATGTCATGGGTTAATACTAAAACTTAATGATCAACATATATTAAATTTTTTAGCAAGATTTGAACTTTTCATATTTTTAAAATTAAGAGACTAAATATCTTTATTTTAAAATAGAAAATAAAAATTGTTAATTGACAAAAATAGGAAATAAAAGTGAATTTTACTTTTTTTTCCTCAAATGGAAAACTAAAATATTGGACACAAAAGCAAATTAGTTAGAAACTCAAGTGTGTTTAGTAAAACCAACTTATAAATTAGCTGAAAGATTATGCTAGTTAAAAACTTATAAACTAAGAGTTGAGATCTTATAAGATAATTGATTGAATTGAAAGTGGTAAGTAAAATTAATTCATAATAAGTTAGTTGAGTAATATAAAATGATATTTATTTAGCCGATAAATAGAATAAAGGAATAAGATATATGGAAAATAGTTTCTAAATTAAAATAATGGTGAATTTTTTTCTCAAATAAATTAATCAAAATAAAAAAAGAAAGAGAAAAAGAAAAGAAAGAAAATTAAAAGTTAAGAGCTTGTAAGCTATTAGTTACCTCAATTAGCTTATAAAAATATAAATCATAAAAAGAAAAACTCTTGTCACAAAAAAAAATATTTTAATTAAAATAATTTATAGACTAATTAAAAAATTTATAAACTCATCGGATACTTTATCAAGCACACTCTCAAATATCTAGTGAATCAAAAGCAAATTAGGTCACTAATAAAAATGATAATGATGCAACTCAAATTGACCTCAACTTATATGATAAATTCCATCAATTGTCATGCCACTTATCCCACCAAATGCTTAGTATATATATAACACCATGTACATTTTTGGGCCAAGTAGTCTAGTTGTTTTGGACCTTGTATTTTGGGTCTAGTAATGTAGAAAATTTATTGTATTTTCTCTTGTGTATTTTTAATTCGGCTAGTTAGTTACAAATTTCATTTAGGCCTAGTAGTCACATTTGAATTTGATTTGGTAAGCCATGTGATTAACTATATGGAAGGTGAGCATGGTCTTGCCTAAATCAAACTCAAATACAACTTACATGCATGAAAATGAACTTCTAACTTCCCTAGATCTAAAAGCACTTGGGTGCACATGGTTATATATATCTAGGACGGACCAAATTTGAATTTCAAATTTAAATTGGCACCTATCTTAACCAAGGTTAGGCTACCATGATTCAAATTGAACCTTGGTTAACTTAACTTGTTCCATAAACTTTCAAAGTCTATATATATAAGCCTAATTCTCTCTTGTATGCGACACTTTTGGAGATATTTGAGATTCTTTTTTTGAATTCTCTCTCAATTATCTCTTGAGTTTCTTAGAAAAATTCATCTCCTTAAGTACTTTCTCCGAGAAAAGTCTTCTTGTGACAAATGCATCACCTTTCTTTTATCTCTTTTACTGAAGAGTGGCACGCCTAAATACCTTTCTTCCTCATCGTTGTTCAATTTTTTTTTTTGAGTTTTCAAGTTATGGAAGCAATTGAAGGGAGTTAAGAGTTGTATGGAAAAATCATCAATCATCCTCCAACGGAATTGTATCACTCAATCAGTTAAATCAGATTAATTTAAGACGAAAATATTATGAAAGAGTTTTTATATATTATATGAAAACAAAATCAAGTTACTTAATTATGATATTTTTATTTATCTTGTTGTTGAGATAAATTATCTTATTTATAAGTTAATTTTAACTAATATAATAATTTTTTTTTCTTTTCATTTCTGTTTGTGCACAAATTTACCCAACAAACAAAATTGTGATTGATATTTTTTTCACGTGATGTGACTATGCACTCCATGACCTCACTAGTACTTTGGGCCTCTAGTTTTGTTCGCGCAATCTTTTGGTACGATCTGTCCTTTATTATACCCTCGGGGCTTCTGTCGTGTCCATATGCCAAAATTGAACAAGTGGGATAGAGGTGGGTGCTTTATACATTTTTTTTTTCAGATGGAATACTCAAAAGTTGAATACGGAAGCAAAACAGCCAGAAACTTAGTATATAATGTATGGTGAATCGAAAGCATATCAGATCACTCAACAAAAATGATACAACTCATAGTAACCGCTGCTTATATGATAAATTCCATCGATCGTCATGCCACTTATCCCACCAATTGCATGGTATAACATGTGCATGACATGGAACTTAGGTAGTTAGTAAATGTACGAAATGCTACACCAATGTGTTGTCTAGTACATCAAAGCTGAGGCATACTTAATTTTGCTGCCTTTATTATTGATGTCAATAACAATAATAATTAAGTCTTGTTATCATTGGTGTCATTAGTAGGAACTGTGATCGGTAGCTGCTGTTGGTCTTGGGGAGAGTTAACCTCTGCAGGGGACGGTGGCATCCTACCTTGGCATTCTCTATATTTTCCCCACACAACTAGATAGAGTCCAAGAATTACCACTATTGCTCCAATAATACTGATAAAGTTAGCACAAAAATAGGGGAAATGAGGTTAATATATTATTACAATTAAAGGATAAAGAAGGACTAAATTAAGTTTTGCTACTTAATTTGTAACTGTAGTACCTTCCGAGGTAGAGTTTCTCAGATAGGACAATGCAGGCCAAGGTGGTAACAATGATCATACGCAGGGGATTAAAAGCAGTTACGATAACGGGGCCCATTGATTTTACGACCATGCCTTGTATGTAATACTGAACTCCAGATGAAACTATTCCCTATAATAATAAATTATGAGAAGGTTAAAAAAAAGTGACCAAGGGTGAAATATTACGTACAAATTGGCTGATTATGTTTGCATATATAGGTGTGTTAGTTACTTATTAGCGTAGTATATATCCAGTCTAAAAACACTGACCGCGTAAGCAGGAGCAATGAGTCTTGTATCCCAACCAAGAGACCATGCATGAGGGTGGTGACGTTCTGCAAAGATTGCAACAGCAGAGCTTTGAAGTGCACCAAAAAAGCAAACCCAAGTGGCGAGGGACATCTCTGCTGGGTATTTTCTCAATATTATGGCCTACACATATATCAAAAAACCATGCAATAGGGTATCAACAGATATGTGATTTTATTAGATGTTTAAGTTTAAGCTTAATTAATTAGTAGGAAGGTGGTGGAACCATGTACACTTGTTCCGTATATTATTATTGCCTCCAACACCAACATATATATACCTGTAATATGTAAAACGCAGAAAATCCTGCACAACCGATAAGGATGAAACATGTCCCTATGATCCAGTGGTTACCAATAGGCGTGGGGTTGTTCACATTATGGCTTATAGAAGATCCCATAACATTAAGTACGGAACCTTTGTATAGTGCCATTAGCAAGGTGCCTCCAAAAGTTACGATTGTCCCAATCACTTTCGCTTGACATGTTACCTCCTTAATCTTCATGTGCTCCAATCTATTCGGTTTAAATTTTTAAAAAATAGTAAGAAATATGAAACAACGACACAACAACTAATAAACAACTTATATATAATTTAGCAGAAAGTCTCATATTGGATGTATGAAATTCTTTAAACCAACGACAGTCATTTGCAAGTGAGTTATGATCAATCTTTAGTCTAGAAAACCATAGATACTAGCTTGTGACATAAAAAAGAAAGAAACTTACATATTCATTGATGCATTCTAATTTTTGAAGCAAAAATTTGGAAACAAATTTTAGTTTGTAAGTTAATTTTAGAGTTACTTATATATAATCAATATGAGTATTTTATTTCCTATAAATATTAAGTTATCCGAATTCAATTTGCGACAAGTTTTACTTTTACATGTGGATATAATATCTTTTTTCATCCTTAATCACGAGATTGGGATCTACTGTTGGTTTCTTTTCAAAGTTTTTCTTTTTCCCTGTTTAGGAAAAATGGTACATAAAAAAAAATAATAAAGAACATCACTCCATTCCAAGGTTAGGTCATATAAAGTTTAAAAAATAATTTAAAGTGAATACCAATAAATAGTATGAATCAAGATTATCATCTAAAACGAGATTTTGAAGATGATTTCTTTTAAATAAAAGAAATAAAACAATAGATTAACTAAGATAACTTTAATGTTTTAATATTTTTAAAAAATATTATATATATATAAGTGACTTCCTTTAAAATTAGTAAAATTTGTCATTTTTTTTTCATAATCATATATATACTTCCAAACTTTTTTAAGTATGACCAGGATATCTTTGTTCAAATAAAATCATAGATTAATTAATTACACAAAAATGAAGATAACGTTTCTAAATAAATGTATATTTATACATACACATATACATGAGGATCAAACTCTGAATTAATCACATAATTAGGTGACATAATTATATACAAACCCTAGTTTTTTATTCAATGTTGAAATTGAACTTGATAACAACAACTTACACATAGTTTTAGTAAATGAGCTAAACCTCCGATTGATATCGTACCATATTCTAAAACATATTACTAGAAAATCAGCATCATTATCTTTGAGGAACAATGCTTTTTTTTTTTTTTTCTTTCTATTTTTTATTCAACTAAATGAAAAATGAAAAAAAAAATCATTGAAAATATTAGTTAACCAATCACGGGTGGGCAATTTATTAGAGCCTTTACGTGACATAATTGTACACAAACCCTAGTTTCTTATTCAATATTGAAATTGAACTTGATAACAACAACTTACACACATAGTTTAAGCAAATTAGCTAAACCTCCAATTGATATTGTACCATATTCTAAAGCATATTACTATAAAATCAGCATCACTATCTTTAAGGAACAATGTTTTTCTTTCTTTCTATTTTTTCTTCAACTAAATGAAAAATGAAAAAAATATATCATATTGAAAATATTAGTTAACCAATCACAGGTGCGCAATAATGTAAATGACATTGGTAACTTCATATATATTATCTTGTGTGATTATGTTAAATTTTGTCAAAATTAAACAATAATTAAAATATAATTAAAATATTCATATTTTATATATTTTAAAATATATAAATTACGTCAATTTTAATTTATATAAATGATGTATCGATCAAATCATTTTGCATTAATATAAAATTTTTAATACATAATTCAGAAATGAGACTTGTAATTTAATAGTAAATTTTGAAAAATAATCATTTAATTGAAAGTTATTGAATGATGTAATAAATAATAAAAGTTATACTGACGTCATTTGATTTCTCTCCATTTTTTTTAAACAACTAAAAATTGTGTATTAGGTTACAGGTACAAAGAGTACCCAAACCCATTTACACGAGAATATAAAAACAAGATAAAAATACAATACAATTTTGTAAATAATAATAAGTTCTCCAAATCCAAATTCTATTATCCAATTGAAATTTCCATTATTGTGATTCATATGTGTATTTATTTTTTTAAGAATAATGATATATATATATATATA